CCCTCACATTGCGAGGGGGTAGCGTGGCAGCACGAATTTGGTTTTCCAAGTAGGAGCACAAATGCTCTATTGGATTAAGGTCAGGTGAATTTGGGGGCCAAGACATGACTTGAAAGTCACTGGAATGTTCCTTGAACCAATCCATGACGATTCGAGCCTTATGACATGGTGCATTATCCTGTTGCTACACACCATCCCCCGCAGGAAAAACTGTTGCCATGAATGGGAGAACCTGGTCTGCAACTATGTTCAAGTAGCTTACAGATGTCAGAGATTGTTCCATGAGGATTATGGGTCCTAATGTGCCCCATGAAAACATTGTTCCTGGGCGAGAAACCATGAAAACCTGGGCGAGCCCATTGTTATAGATGGAGGGTGGTCATAATGTAACGGCTCTTCAGTGTATATATATATATATATGAACTTACCGGATCTTTCAGGTACCAGAAGGGATTCAAAGCCTCTGGGATATTCATTTTAAATATTTTTCGGGTCTTTGGATCGTACATATTGTTATCCACAATGCCGTGAGATTCAGGATTTAACCCCTATTAGGAAATAATTAAAAAATATTTTACTTAAAACATTCAAAATGATGGTTTAAATAATAGCACGTACTGCGGGTTTCTAAATAACTGACTTGTGTAAATTTTTTAGATTGCTTGATAAAATGATTTTGGAAAACTATGCCTATTAGTAGTTATTATATTTAAGAGAGCAAATAGCAAAAATATTTACAAACTCTAACAAGTTGAGGGCAAATGGGGAGATCAGCAAAAGCAAATAAGGGATTAAACTTATCAAAAACCAGTTTATTTGTCTAGAGGAACTAGGATGAAATTGTTTACTTTAATAATTTGTGACTGATAAAATACATAGTTTTTAAAATTTATTATTTTAGTATGTTTCTAAAGAAAAATTTTCTAAAATCTGTAATTCCGAAACATCCTGCATGCATATTTCTAACTTAACTATCACATTAGTTACAATAATTATATGTAATTCCATCTTAACATTTATTCATCGCAACATTGATAATAGAAAACAAGTTTTTTAAATTGAATTTTTTTTAAAAAATATTTTACAAGTTTCTCGATAAATTAAATAAAAAAAATATATATATTTATTGAAAAAAATTTTGAAGCTATGTTTTAAATTAAATTTAAAAAAATACTCAAATCAATTTAAAATTCAATAAAATGATTCTTGCTTAAAGTTAATTAATTTAATTTATTAAAAAAAATTCCACAGTGAAGTCAATATTTATCAATCAGATACAATATATATATATATATGCCTTGATGTATATATATATATATATATATATTGATGAGTGCTGTTTACTTGCAGCTTAAGCGCAATAAATGATACTTATTGTTTTTCTTAACTTTCTTAGTGTTTTCTTGTATTTATTTATTATATATATATATAAGACTCAAGGCGAACCAGTCACAGGCTGCATGTTGTAAGAACCTCGGGTTTCAAAAACTGTGGTGGAAACAGTTCAGAGAAGATAGGAACAGTGGTCCCACGAATTAGTCAAAGCCGCAAAATAGGGCAACACCAGCGACTCAAGACCATTATTTGAGATTTTAGCAAAAAGATATAAGTCCATGACAACAAAACAACTGTTTCACAAAGTGTATAATGCAAAAGGAACATCCATTTTGCTGACAACAGTCACCATGAGACTTGATGCAGGTGGCCTGTAAGCCAGGCGCCATTCCTTTGATTGTGAACCACAAAAACGACGGCCTAGCATGGTGCAGAGAACACCTGTCTTGGAAAGAGGATGATTGTGACGAATTCTCTTCAGAGAAAAGGCACGATTCAGTCTGAATAAGCGATTCGAAACGTGTTCTTATCTAGAGAGAACCGGGGAATAGATCACATTGCGTGAAAAGACCATTATGATGGTCTGGGCAAGCATCGAGGCATAGAGATGGTCTGGGCAAGGCATACTGACCGTCATGTGTTCAATGGAAGTACTTTAATAAGTCAGCGGAACAGGAACGAGATCCTTGCTTGCACCCTAGGTGAGACCTTCCCGCTGACCAAATTTCATCTTTATGGACGATAACGCCCGTCCACACAGGTTTCAGTTGGTAGATGAATATTGCCAATCTCCGTTATGTTCTCCGATTAGAGTGGCCTGCGATGTCCCATAACCTTAATCCCATCTGACACGCAGAGGACGCATTTAGACGCTTAATTGCAACTCAAAGTCCAGCTCCAACGACTATAGATGAGTTCAGGGATGCCTTGATGCAACATTGGGTGAGGTTGTCACACAGATTGATAACGACCCTGCTTAGCAGTACGAAACGCCAATTCGAGAGTTATGGACATACATTATACGAATAAAATAAATGGCGAACCTTGTATTTAAAAATTGACTGTTAGTTTAGGTATGAAAACTTCAGTTAATTTTAAATTTAAATAACATTTAATTTATTGATGGCCGAATATTAATATCTAAAGTAGTAAAGGCATCATAATTAAATCATTAACATAAATATTTTCATCTGGATTCCTATCAGTATTTAAAAACCATACTTTTGCCTTTTTGTGTCAAACTTAGTCAGTGATATTTGTTATCTGAATTGTTCTTTGTAATTTGCACAACGCAATGCTAAAATATAAAGGTCATATATCTCAGGAAGATGAAAAATTAAATTTTTTGAAAACAGTGAAATCTCCTTCAGGCCACGAGTATCGCTGTGCGAAGCGTATTCTGCTAATTATTCCGATTGATATTTTAATAATACGAGTCGCTGATGGTCACAAGAATAATATCTCGCTCCGTTTGCTTCCATGGTGTCATGTCTGTTTATTTGTGTCCGTTGCATCGCATCTGCGTCTCATCTCGCCACTTTACACGATCAGTTTAAATGTTTGCTGAGGAGTATAGCTGAAAATAATTACCCTAATTCGTTGAAATTTCGAAAAGAAAAATGGAAAACTTATGAGTCAAACAGCAATGAACAAGAAAGCTTTTACGAGGCTCACAATAATTTTCTCATAAATCATTTTTGTATTACTTTTATAACAATTCAATAGTTTTGTTTCTCCCTGTGAAATATCTTTTCAAATACATATGGATATCCTTCGCAAGTAGCCAATAAGCGTCACCCGAATACGGGTCCAATTAGAAACTTTGCTGTCACCCTAATATGGGTGACGATGCCTGATCAGAAACTTTGATGTCACCCGAATATGGGTGACGATGCCTGATCAGAAACTTTGCTGTCACCCGAATATCCGAATATAGGTGACGATGTCTGATCAGAAACTTGGCTGTCACCCGAATATGTGTGACGATGCCTGATCAGAAACTTTGCTGTCACCTGAATATGGGTGACGATGCCCGATCAGAAACTTTGATGTCACCCGAATATGGGTGACGCGGCAGTCAACGTGGTAAAGAGAATTAAAAAAGTAAGAGACTATTGTAACTTACGGTAACGATACTGTAGTGGTTGGGAAATGTTTTCGAAGGAAAAACTGGATACATAAAATCTGCACTTGAGCCGCACTGAGCTATTTTGTTGAGAGTGGGAGATATACCCCTCTTTAAATAATCAGGGCGGAATCCATCCAAAGATATCAAGAGTAGAGGTGGAGTGCCTTGAAAACTAAAAGAATGAAAATTATTATGAATATGCTGTTAATGAGTTAGCAGCGCAGACAAAGAACAACATTAGTCCAATAATTTACAAAACCAAACTAATTCTGGTTCTCTAAGGGTAGCATTTCTCAACAAGAGTAGGATCTGTAAAGCTTTTAGCATTTTTACAAACTTTGTCCTTTTTGTATTTTTTTAAGCTTAAATGCGTATTTCAGAGATTCACAAGATGTAAAAAAGTGATGGAGAGCTGAAGAGCAATTGAGTCTAGTCCAGTCTCGTAGGTTGGACCTCCATTGTTGCTTTATAAAAATTCTTTAATTCGAACCACCAATCTTCAAGATTTGATTGAATCTAATTCTAATATAACAAGTTGACGTTAGTTTGTTTAAAATGGAATTAAAAAAAATTAAAAAGATATTCCATGTCATTATTTTTCATAGCAGTGGGTTTGCAAATAAGAATGCACAAAATTCGTTTCTAATGAAATCTATTAATCTTTTACGGACACATTTGTACTGCAGAGAGCGCTAAAAAAACAAAGAAAAAACGAACCATCCAAAATAACTTTTGATCTAATAATCGGATCATCATGTTCTAGGACTCATTCGTAATTTTTCGAGAGGGTGACCTCATATATTCTAACTATTTAGTACAGACGATATTTCAAGTTACGAAATCAGACACAAAAACGTACTCTAAATAAACATACATTTTTTTAGCGGATTCAGATATCCCCCGTTAATATACGGGGTCGCAGCAATCTGAAAAATATGGTCCCCATAGTTGGGTCAGGAGAGCTATCCAAAGTTGAATTACTTATTGTTAATTTTTCTTCTTGAGCATTTCGCCATGTATCAAGAACTTTTAAAGCGAATTGAAAAATTTTGCACGCAATTATAAAATTCGTTTATCCAAAGATATTTGCATGCAAAAAATAAATTTTAGTAAATATTAAGTTTTTTTTTTATTATTTTATTTAGTAATATTTGAAAAAATGTTAAATTGTAAGGTATATAATTTCTTACCCCATTTTAAAGTACGTAATTTTACATGAAAAAATACAACATTCTATCGAAAACGGTTAAATAGTTCCTGAGTTTTAAATATACGACCCTTTAAAAAATTCGATTTCTCATGAACTATTCAACCGATTTCGCTCAAATGTTGTATTTGGCCATGCAAAATTACTTGCTGTAAAATGATGTAAGAAACTGTATACCTTACAATTCAAAATGTTTTCTACTGCTATTTGATAAAATAATAAATATTTTCTGGAATTCATATTTTGCAGGGAATTATCTTAGGATAAACGAATTTTAAAATTGTGAGCAAAAACTTTTCAATTCACATATAAAGTTCCCGAGATAAAGCTAAATACGCAAAAAGTAAAATTAACATTAAGGGCTCCAAACTTTGGATCACTCTCCTGATCAAACTGTGCGGACCATGTTTCCCAGATTACGGCTACCCCGTATATTTGAGGAGTCAGAAATCCGAATACATAGGGAAAAAAGTATGTTTATTCAGAGAAAGTACGTTTTGGGCCTGATTTTGTTATCAAAAAATCGCCTGCACTAATTAATTAGCAAATTTGAGGTCACCCTCCCAAACCATTAAGATTGAGTGATTAAGATTCGAACATCATACCCAAAAATATTCAAACTTTACATATAAGTCACTGTACATATAAGGTCCCAATCACTTGTCTTGCAACAGATAACAACACACATTCATTTTTTTCACTCGAAAATAAATTTAAAATTGAAATAAGTCATTCAATTTAAATAGTTTGTATAATTTTACCTCGACGGGCATTTTCCTTGCTGCCTTGGACATCCTCCAGCAGGTGCTAATTGCGATGGAGAATTTTCTAGAAGGAAAAAAAAGTCACGTTTTTATTTTGAAAATAACAGTTAAAAACCCATTGTTTTGCATGTCAGGAGTTCAAAAATGGTCTACGATTTGAAAAATCAATAAAAACAAATTGAAAAATATAGAATTGTACGATTTGCTGCGTTTTGCTAAAGGAAATGGATATTTTTTTTCCTCACTCATTTTACAGGTTACTCATATCCACCTCCAAGTTTTTTTTTCTCAAGGCATTCAGCAACTCCAAATTTACATAACAGCACTTTCCATCTCCTTTAGATTTTTGTTGCATATTCAATTAGAATTATTTTATAAAATAAACATAGAGGTTACCTCATTGATCAAAATTTACCATAGTCATAATTTCTCAGCTATACCAGTTTTTGCTTTATCGAATGAATAATAGAATTCCCAAAACTGCCGTTAATGAACAGCTAAATAATGGGGAAATTTATCTCAGTAATTAAAGTGTCCTTCCTTTACAGCGCAGAAATAAGCATGTTTTAAATAGAGCAATGACCAACAACTATTACATTAAAAATAATTAATAAACCAGCGTGGCTTCATGTAGCATTCGTAATATTTACTCGTGATTTCACCTTGATTGGCTAACGTCAGGAAAATTATCAACATTGGTATATTTACCGTACATACAAGGCGACTCTAGATAATTATTAAAAACGAGTAAGGAGATGAATTTGGTTTTATTAGAGCTGTAAGTTACCAAATTTCACAAAAGCTGCGAATCATTATCCTGCTATTATCGTTTCTAAAAAAATTAAAAACAAAATCATCCACATCGCGGATTTATATAATTTTATCCTAGATTATTGACTCCTAGATCTACATCTAGAATCCGAACATTCTTACCTTCAAACTTTCTTGAAACCAATTTTTACAGAAACGATCATTTTCGACAATGCTGGAATTATTTCCACCCCAGACACGTCTGCTCATCTTGATACCCTGGAATCTTATTTTATTCATTTGAATGCTGATTCCCTTGTTAACGAAATTAGTTCCCCCACACCAGGGCTAAAGAGAATAGAAGGGCTGGTTCACTCCTTTGAAGTATCTCTTGCCGCGGTCTGAAATAGAACACGTAGAGCACCTCCAT